ACATTCTGTTCAAGTGTTGACAAAGGGTTTAAATACAAAAATATAATAACATAGTTGATAGATCTACTCTCACATTGCTGCTCTAATCCAAAATAGACTTGAATCATTGTCATTCATCTTTTGTGACTGATCCACACTGTTGAGGTCTCAGTGAAGTGAAGGGGAAGTTTGTTGGAAGGCATCGATGAACTGTGGGGTTGTTTGTAGTTCTCTTACAGGTTGAGGCTGTTGTTACGGTCGCATACTCACCCCGGTTGTTTCTCTCGCCTTCAGTGACCACAACACACAGCAGACACACACTAACAGCAGCGACTCCAATGCAGAGGAAGACGTTCAGGTACGGGAACTGAAACTAAGGTTGTTTGTCCACTTCAGCATTGTCTATTATGATCATCTATCTCTTGTTTAAGGAAATGAGTCATGTTTCACCATGGACCAGGTTTCACCGCTCTAGCATTACACTGCCCGTCCAAAAAAAAGTCACCACCTGGATTTAACTAAACAAATCAGTAAGAGCCTTCCATTAGATAATTACTGCAGCGATCAATATGTTTCAGCTGGTAAGTTATTTAACCCTAGCTGATGTGGTGGGTAGCTTTTCATTTCTTAAACAACTATGTCGGTAGAAACATCCTGCGGTCGTGGAAAGGATGTTTATCGCTTTCAGAAGGGTCAGATTATTGGCCTGCATCAAGCAAAGAAAACAACTAAGGAGATTGCTGCAACTGCTAAAATCAGGTTAAGAACTGTCCAACGCATTATTAAAACCTGGAAGGAAAAGGGACCACCATGATCTTCCAGAGATACAGAAATGTGGTCGTCGAAAAGAACTCCTGAATGATCGTGATCGGAAATCACTTAAACGTTGAGTGAATATCTATATCCGTAAGACAATGAACAGTAGAACCCACGGCTATGTTAGTAGTGAACAGTAGAGCATTTCCACACGCACGATGTGATAGGGAACTCAAAAATATTGTAACGATGCACAATCTGAATAAAGGAAGAGAGCAGATTTGGTTTCTTGTTGGTTGGGTGTCTTTTCATGAGTATATCAGTAGGAACAAATTGAAAGTTTTTTTTGTTTTTATATTAAATCCTAAGCAAGAGAGGTATCAAATTACTTGATTTAGCATCGAAAGCAAAGTACATAATGGGAACAAGGTTAAATACAGATAATGCTAGAATTTTATCAAAGCGACTGCAGGTTGTAAAAACTTAAGGAAATCTATATGAGAAAATTCTGAGGGGTTCCAGGACTGAGATCACGTGGCCGGTTATATCCATTTCGAAGAGATGAGTTATAGGTTTGTATTAGGTTACAATTACTTACTGGGGTTGAGAGGCGTGGGAAAGGATGGGTGTGACTTCATGGTAAGCTTGTGGACAACTAAATTGGTTAAGAAACGGGTTTTTAGTTTTATTTATTAAATCATAATAGTTGGAGACTAACATATGTTTAACTGAATCTTTAAGTTGAATATATAATTGAGGTATTGTACACTTCCCGGGTTTCTTCATATCTGAATAATATCGTTACTGGTGCGCAGTGTTTGGAAGCAAGACGGAGGGACTGCAGCAGATGAATAGACACGGCTTTTTACACACAGAAAGTTAGAACCGACAAAGTTTACCTTGACGTCGAGACTTCTGCGCTAGCTGTCATAAAGAAGACACTTTTGAGTTTTAGCAGCTGGCTTTTACTGCTGTGAAATTTATTCCTGGTCCAATGGACCGAATACTGCTCTATGAAAATATAATTTGATCATTCAGTAAATTATAAATTAAGTCTGACCATGGGGCGATCGTGAGTATACATATAAATAAAGTGAAAAACAAGCTAAAAAATTCAGACATCACTATCAGTGAATTTAAAGTCGCTTTTTTTTTTTTTTGCATTATGTTTAAGACTTTTCAATCAATATTTCATTTCATATCATCTTTATCTGACCCCAAGAGCGCGGAGCTGACCATTGGCCCTGGTTACTGAAAACATCGGGATGAGCTGGGGTTGAGTTAGGAAGTGATATCGTGGGGGATTGCAGAGGCAAGTTGTGGGGCGTGCGGTGGCGAGGTGGGGAGGTGGGTGTGTCGAAGAGAGTGAGGTAGGAGGGAGAGGGAAGATGCGAGAAACATGAACAGTAATCGTGTAAAGAATGCATCAACATGGCTAATTATGCCCATCAATGGCTGACTTCCAATTTGCTAAAAGTAAAAAAGAACAGCCCGGCACTCTAGTAT